TCTAACATAGTGTGTTTTTTTAACATAGTGTTTTGAAGTAATGCACTTGATAGATATTGCTAAATAAAAACCATCCTCTTAGAATCCCTCCATAAATAGAATAAGAGATACAGTTGTTTGATTCTTAATTAAGATTTTGAGTATTGATGCAGTATGGATACTATCTACACAATTCTCTAACATTGCACAGCAAACTTGTATTCATCAACTCCAGTCTTCATCTCTTACACTTTAGCATAACAATCTCCATGCTGGAAGACTTAATTTCTCTAGAGTACTAAGTATTTCACAACTTTTTTTTCATTTGGTCAGGAAGTAACTGAATGCATCAACGGTACAAGAACATTTATATACATTTTTATTGATTTATAGGAAGTTCTTTTTGGCAACATGAATTATTTTCTTCTTCATTATATAAAACAAATAACTAAATAATATTAAATTAACAATATCAATTATGAAATGACATTTCATTTTATTTATTTAAATGCAGTTATTGAAATATTATTACTATTTAATCAGAGGTCCTTGTCAAGTTTAGCATGTATTTTTCCTCTTACTTTAGCTCCTCACAAGTCTCAGAGGGATTGTGGTCCTTAGAATCCCAGAAGGCTATAAATAATCTCCAACCTAATTATAGAGTTGACATATAGATGTGGACTGGGCTATTCTGAGCCTCTTATTTAAGATTTTAAAAGGTCTAGACATATAAGCATCCAAATAAACTCTTTTATGAAATGTTTCAGTGTATTTTTCCCCAAGCATTTCATCTGTCAGGACAGATGTTAATGGTTTGTCAGCTGTCCCACTGCTGCCTCTTTCAATATTTAAAAGATTTCTAAGACTTTGAGTCGTCAAACTCAAAATCATGTCTGCTTCCTTGTTCCTTTGGAGATAAGTGGGTAAGTGTATTTTTTATCTCGCTTACTATTTAAAAGGGGAAACATTTCACATTTGAATACATCTGCATAGGTGATTTTTATGGTTGTGAAAAGTGTTCTGCATCAAAACAAGGTTTTATTTATTTCTCAAAATGGGAGAAACTTACACTCTGGATATGTGCACATTCACCTTTACACACACAATTGGCACGGTCATACATACACACACAACACTGGAACATATCAGATTGGAATCTTTTGGAGTCAATTAATCAAACAACAAAGGTTGAAAGGGGCAGGAAAGCTCATCAGCATAGGCTCTTTTCAAAATTCCTTTACTAAATAACAGATTATTCTGAAAAATTTTAAAAATTAGAAATGGTATGAGTTATTGTAGAGAAGCAGAGAATATATGCTAGACAAAACAATAGTATATGGAAAAGTTGAAAAACAAAATTATAATGTAATTTCTTTTATTCATTAAGTATTTGAGTATAGTTTATTCTGTATGCAGTCCCATAGTGAGGGATAAAGATCATTAAAAATACATTGTAATGCCCCTTGAAAATTCCTAAAAGAATGTACAATTTAATTGGGGAGATGAAACATATGTAGTACCAGTATTAGTACCAACTGCCATCAGTAAATTCTGACTCATGGCAAACTATCCCCACAAGCCCCACCAACCTTTTACCCCATCAGAATAGAACTGAGCTCCTTAGGTTTTCAATGGCCCATTTTAGAAGGAACTAGATAGCCAGGTTTTTCTTCCAAGAGGCCTCTGAGTGGATTCCAAACCATCCTAGTTTTCCTGTTAACAGCCAGTCAAATTAGCCATTTGTATGAAGAATCAGTGAGACCCTATCTTATGTTACTTTATAATTAGAAATTCAGAAAGACTATCCAAGTTCACTATGAATCAGAATTTACTTGATGGGAATATTTTGTGTTTTGTGTTTTAAAAAACTAGGATTTAAGCTCCCCGCCCGCACCCCGTCCCCGCCCCAGCCACCAAAAGCCAACTTATTCTGACTCATAGTGACTCTTTATAGAGTTTCCAAGGCTGTAAATATTACAGGAACAGACATTGTTCCCCTGCAGAACAGTTTATGGGTTAAAAGTAGATTATAGAGATACAAATAGTACAAACACTAATTAAAACCCTCTTTTCATTATATAAAAGTAATATTGTATAGAATTAAATTCATATGAGCTCTGTGGCATTATGCTGAATGAGAAAAGGCACAGGAACCACTGGGGCTGAGCAAAGAATAGAGGATTCTCTGGCTATAACCAAATTGTTGAAGCACAATCATAAATATATCTTAAAGGTCAACATGAATTGATTATTCCTTTTATTTTATTCAAAAATTCAACCAATAAGTAACGTTTTGATTATTCACATCTCAGAAGTTGACTTCTTCTTATCAGTTTATTGGTGAAACAGTAGACTCCTGTGCTCAAATTCTTCGAAAAGTGGAAGAAACAATAGTTGGAAATACTGATCTTAGGGGACTTCCTGAAGAAGTGTGAAAGAGATAAAAGACACTGATTTCCAGCATGAAAGAGGGGACATTTTCAGGAAGGGAACTGAAAATTAAGCAAAACAAAAGTATGATAACTGTGGGAGTCTAAGGAAAAAGTAAAATAAATAAAATAGTGTGCAGGACGAAATAAGATGAAATAGGTAACCTCTTTTTAAAATCATTTTATTGGGGGATCATACAGCTTTTATCACAATCCATACCCACATCCACTGTGTCAAGGAAATCGGTAATCTTAGAAGGAAAGCTTAGAGCTTAAAATGTTAAAACGTGGTATCTGAATCTGTAAGCCTTTCCATGCTTTGTGTCTTCAGGCTGGTTATAGAACATCTCTGTTTCTCAATTTTTTACTTCATACAGCAGAGAAAATTGTACCTACCCTACAATGTCCTACATGATTTCCTGTGATGCTGATACAATTTGAATCTGATACATACTGAACACAAAGGTACAAGAGATGTTGAAAATTAAGATTTCAGAATATAAAAACTTACAGGAAAAAAGCATTACTTTGAAGGAGATATAATACCTTGAAATTATAATGGGGAGAGGAAAGGACTAAGAATAGAGATACATAAACAATGATCAAAGACATATATCCACTGGGCACAGGCAAACGGGTGAGGGAATCCATCAGGGCCTCCAAAATATTTTGCTTTTGATTGTCATCTTTAAAGTCAGGAATACTATAATGCATGGCAAATTAAAAAAAGAAAAGATGGAACAAAATTAGATTTTATATTATCCCAAAATATGTGCTATTTGTATTTTATGAACATTTGTAGCAACAAAAGAGTTGCTACCTGATAACACCCTTTCTCTCAGTGAGAGCATGTAACATAAAATGGCACTTTATGAAATTTAAGGGAAGGAAATGTCTGAAGTTAGTTCCTGGGTGAACCATTAAAATGTTTTGAAAGGAGAGCGTATTTGAAAGGCAAGAGGATTGGAGAGAGGGTCTGTTTCCTGATATGAAATAGGACTAAGACTGTGGTTTTTCTGTAGCTAAGATCAAAATGTAATAGAATGAAAAGAAACAAAAACCTCTTACTAGTCAGTCAATTCCAACTCATGGTAACCCCATGTGGTACAGAATAACACTATTTTATAGGTTTGTCATGGTTGTAATCTTCCACGTATGCAGGCCACTCTACTGTGCCATCACTGGGTGGGTCATAATACTCAACCTTTAGGTTAGTGCCAAATAAACAAATACACTTTAATTTACTTGATTCTGACCCATAGTGACCCTGTCATACAGGATAGAATTTCCCCTAGGGGTTTCCAAAACTGTAACTTTACAAGAGTAGAAAGTCTCCTCTTTCTCTTTCAGAGCAGTTGGTGGTTTCGAACTGCTGACCTTGTGGTTAGTGCCCCAGGTGTAAATCACTATGCCACCTGGGATCCTTCAGCACAAACCATCCCAATGGAAAAAGAATAACAGAAATGCCTATCCTAATCACCGCATGAGAAACTTCCTTTCCTTCGTCAAGGAACCTCTTCCGTCCTGACTCCTTGAAGAGGTCTTCTGGAGCTCCAACGGTAAGGAGGGGTGAGAGTCTCTGGCTGTACTCGGTTAGGGATTATTGATGAGCTTAAAAAATGCACCCATCATTATCCTTTTCAGCTGATTCTATTTTGTCACTGATATATTGTCCCTTATTTCAGCAGGCAATTGATATGGTTCTAAGTGATCAAAATGCAGGCAAATCATTCTACCAGTAATACACTGCACAAAGAGATGTTAGAAATGGCATGCATGTTTTACATGTTTGGGTATTCCAAAAGTAACATATATTTTTCACTTTTGAGGATAACATATATGTTTGGACAGCAAAAAGGAGAGGGAACTAGGCTGGCATGTACAAAGTATATTTACAAGCATAAAATGAAATCATGCTGTTGATAAGCTTCTGGAACATATAAAAATATATCAGAAAAAATAAGATAGACTCTGATCTTGTTACAAATGACTTTATCGCCTACCTTCTCACTTAAAATACTGGACAATGTCATCATGTCATTAACTAGTTTTATTTGTATTACATGCTGCTTTTAACTTTTGTGGAAGGTAAATCATCCTGTAACATCATCAAAGAATATATCTATATTCTCGACCTGACAATACAAGGGGACACGATGGCTCTGTGGTTAAACGTTTGGCTGCTGCCAAGAAGACCTGCCATTTGAGCACACCAGCCACTCTGTAGGAGAAAACAGTGGCCGTCTGCTTCCACACAGAGCTGGTCTTAGCAAGCCTGAGGCCATTCTACTGTGTTTTATGGGCTTGCTAAAAACCAGAATTGACTAGCTGACAAAGGGATTTTTGCTTTGTGTCTTTGTTTTTGGACACTGTACTTAAAGTGAAGGCCTTGGGGGCACATTTTTTTTTACCATAATGATAACTCAACAAATCAAATCAACAAATCAATAAATCAACTCACTGCCATTGAGTCGATTCTGACTGATAGTGACCCCACAGGAAAGAGTAGAACTGCCCCTATGAGATTCTGAAAGTGTACTCTTCAGTTATCAATTTCTCTTCCGAACGCATTCACCGAAAGGAGTGTTCCAGATGCAAAGCTTCAACAGAACCCCTGTGGTCACACACTTCATCCTGGTGGGCTTCTCCCGCCTGGAAGAGCTGCAGCTGCTGCTCTTTGTCGTCTTCCTTCTCCTGTACTTGACCATCCTGCTGGCCAACGCAACCATCATGGCAGTCATCCGCTTCAGCCGGACGCTGCACACTCCTATGTATGGCTTCCTATTCATCCTTTCCTTTTCTGAGTCCTGCTACACATTTGTCATCATCCCTCAGCTACTGGCCCACCTGCTCTCACACACCAAGACTATCTCCTTCGTGGCCTGTGCCACCCAGCTCTTCTTTTTCCTCGGCTTTGCCTGCACCAACTGCTTTCTCATTGCTGTAATGGGGTATGATCGCTACGTAGCAATTTGCCATCCCCTGCGGTACACGCTTATCATGAACAAAAGACTAGGGTTGGGGTTGGTTTCTTTATCTGCAGCCACAGGTTTTTTTATTGCTTTGGTGGCCACCAACCTCATCTGTGACATGCCGTTTTGTGGCCCCAACCGAGTCAACCACTATTTCTGTGACATGGCACCAGTTATCAAGTTGGCCTGCACAGACACCCACATAAAAGAACTCGCACTGTTCAGCCTCAGCATCCTGGTCATCATGGTTCCCTTTCTGCTAATTATCATATCCTATGGCTTCATTGTTAACACCATCCTGAAGATACCCTCAGCTGAGGGCAAAAGGAAGGCCTTTGCTACCTGTGCATCCCACCTCACTGTGGTCTTTGTCCACTATGGCTGTGCCTCCATTATCTACCTTCGGCCTAAGTCCAAGTCTGCCTCAGACAAAGATCAACTGGTGGCAGTTACCTACACGGTGGTTACTCCCCTACTTAATCCTCTTGTTTACAGTCTAAGGAACCAGGAGGTGAAGACTGCACTGAAAAGAGTTCTAAGAATGCCTGTAGCAACCAAAGAGATCTGAAGAAATTTCAAAAGGTTAACCAGGAAGTCAGGACACGTTATCTTCCTTTGACCAGTCTACATGTGATGAGCAATGTTCCAAGGATTAAAACCACTGTTGTCTTTTATTTCCTCTCATTCTGGAAAAAACAATGGCAGCACACTCTACATACTACACTATCTGATACAGGTAAAGGAAAGGACTCAACTCAACAAAGAGGGGAAACCATGGTAACTTTTCAAGGGAAAATGTTATAACCAAGCTGAAAGGAGGTCAAGGATTAATTTTCTGGTTGAATTGGGAAACTTGTCTAAAATGGATGGAAGAATTTTATCACAATGCAGGCATTTGTAATGTATGCATGATGTATCAGGTCTGCTCCTAAGGGCAACCATTAAGATGAATAATTTGATTATTTATAGAGGGATGGGAGAAGGTGGGTAGAGAGACAAGCAATGAAAAATAAGGAAATTCAAGACAATTAGATCTACTGAAAGCATATAAACATCAAATTATAAGAAACAGAAGTAATTCTTCCTGAGAAAAAGGAGTTTTGGGATAAATGGAATGAAGTAAGTGAACACATTTGATCTGACCCTTGAAGTGAGAACAGGATTTTAATTTTCCAGTGACAAAAACGTTGGTCAATGTAATCAAAATTGTTGATTTTGAAAAAAAATAAAAGTGCTAGATTTTTTTTGGATGCTAACTCTAACTTTAATTTAATTTCTCCTTTTCCTTTGTTTCTGTCTGAAGATTGGTTTAAGTCATGCACAGGAAGTAGTTTTCTTTTTCTAATGGACTTAAATAACCACTAATGGCATTTTCACACTTGCTGCTCAGGTAGAATGTGATTCTCTAAAGAGGCAGGAATGGCCCTAAGTTTTCCACTGGCTAGCCCTACAATGTTCATAATATAAAACTAATATGAAGTCACTTTTTCATAATAATAATTTAGACCATACACACTAAATACAAGGGTATTGATTTCAAATACCGACTCATGAGTTTTCAAGCCATGTGATTGGAGACAAGTTATTTAAAACTGTTGAAATTGGTGATCTTTGAGTCTTTCATCCGGGCACATGGGGATCTTTTTAAGTTGGGGTGTGCATTACCTTGTTAGCACAGTGCTTGTCTTCTAGTAGGAAGGTCAATAACTGTTCAGTATACCCTTTTGATGCCCACTTTCTCTGCCTCTACCAGAATAAAAATCTCCATCCTTACTGAAGTCAAAATGCATCACAACATTCAGAGTGTGTTCTCACTAATTGACCATAAAATTACACGTGAATGGGGAAAAGGTTTCATATAATAGATGAACTGACGCATGCTCTTCCCTCTGTCAAGCACTCTGATTCTATGGCACAATGAGCACTCAAACTTAATTGATCACTTTCTAGTTTGCCAACACATTTCAGCCCTTACAAGTTAAGTCAGATGAATTTGTTCCCAAAACTATTTACAATAGTTGTGCTTATTCCATTAATTCTATTTTTGAAATGTTTTTGTATTATGTATCCTGGTGAAGTATGACTACATTAAAGATATTTGTTCCTAATACAGCCAAATTGAGTGCTTTGGAAAGATTAGTGTGTGAAAAAGAATCACAGATGAAAATAAAATCATAAAAACCTGGATGTGTTATGTGTTTGGGTTAGTTTGTCAGTGTCTCTACATTTCTAATCATCTTTAAATTCATTGTAATTTAATTAATACATACTGGTTGAGTTTATGATTTATATGCCATAAAGAGCTCCAAACAGTAATCCAATCTCAAATTAGAAGTCTTATCTATAAATCAAAATAATTATGTACATGTGTATTTAAATGTTTGAGTTGAAATAAAATTTTTAAAATATACAGGAGTAATGAATTAATTTTATTTTCTATGAGATGATTTTTGGGATACTCAATCTAACTAGAAGTTAGGTCAAGTGACAGAGTTCCTAGTGTTTTTAAAAAATATATATTTAATAAATAAATAAATAAATATATAAATATATATATTATCTGTGTGAGAGGATAGAGACTAATGTGTGAAAAAACAACTCTCTCCACCTTAACCCAGCCTTATTAGCAAGTAATGCACTATTTCCTCTTTTGAGGCTTTCTTCTTCTGAATTGTTTTCAGAAACCTTAGGAACTTGAGGATTTACATAGATAAAAGGGAGTCAGAGGACTTTCTCTTGCAAAGCTATAGAGAACTGAAGTCAGTTCAGCAGCGCTCAGGGTCCTTCCTGCCACAACCAATGTCAATAGTGAAAGGTGGTGATTATTTTCCCATTACAAAGGATTTTTCAAATTGGGAATGGAGCACTCATGGTGCAGTGGGTAAAGTGTTGGGAGTTTGCTCCATGGGGGAAATGTGAGACAATTGGCTTCTGTAAAGAATTACAGCTTCAGAGACCTTAGGGAGTAGTTCTATTCTGTCCTATAGGGTCTCTATGAGTTGAAATCACCTATCTAGCAGTGAGGGTGCCCAAGTTGACCTAATTTTTTGAGAAATATTTACCACTGATGATTTCAGATTTTCTTATACTTGTTTGAGGTTTTAGCTGAACTTAAAAAAAAAATTTATTGGGGGCTCATACAACTCTTATCAAAATCCACATATACATCCATTGTGTCAAGCACATCTGTACATCTGTTTCCCCCATCATTCTCAAAACATTCGCTTTCCACTTGAGACCTACTATCAGCTCCCCATTTTCCTTTCCCTTCCCTCCTCCCCTCCCTCATGAGCCCTTGATAATCTATAAATTATTATTTTTTTGTTATGTTTTACACTGTCTGATGTCTCCCTTCACCCACTTTCCTGTTGTCCATCCCCCAGGGAGGGGGCTATATGTAGATCTTTGCAATCGGTTCCCCCTTTACATCCCACCCTTCCTCCACTCTCCTGGTATCGCCACTCTCACCACTGGTCCTGAAGAGTTATCTGTCCTGGAATCCCTGTGTTTCCAGTTCCTATTTGTAGGAGGGTACATCCTCTGGTGTACCCGGATTTGTAACATAGAATTGGGATCACGATAGTGTTGGGGGAGGAAGCATTTAAGAACTAGGGGAAAGTTGTATGTTGCGTCATTGTTATACTGCACCCTGACTGGCTTGTTTCCTCCCCACTACCCTTCTGTAAGGGGATGTCCAGTTTTCCATAGCTGGGCTGTGGGTCCCCACTTCGCACTGCTCCTCATTCTCAATGATATGATTTTTTGTTCTTTGATGCCTGATACCTGATCCCTTCTACACCTTGTGATCACACAGGCTGGTGTGCTTCTTCCATGTGGGCTTTGTTGCTTTTGAGCTAGATGGCCGCTTGTTTACTTTCAAGCCTTTAAGACCCTAGACACTAAATCTTCTGATAGCCGGGCACCATCAGCTTTCTTCACCACATTTGATTATGCACCCATTTGTCTTTAGCAATTGTTAGGAAGGTGAGCATCATGGAATGCCAGTTTAATAGAACAAAATGTTCTTGCTTTGAAGGAGTGCTTGAGTGGAGGCCCAATGCCCATCTGATACCTAATACTAAACCTATAAATATATGCACATAGATCTATTTCCCGATCATCATATATAAATGACTTCTTAATTTCTATTCACTACCCTGTTCTGAACCACCAGCTGCCTCAAGAGGATGAAATCAGAACTTGTTTTATTATGTGGGTTATCTCAGACCTCACCATTCCATCTGCCTTCTGTTTGTGGACAGCCAGGGTTAGGAAAGAAGAGTTTTTACTTTAAAAGTGATCCAAAGACAAAAAAACTCATTGGTGTTGCTTTCCCTAAACAATAGAACGAATCACTTTTCATAAGGCAGAAACACTCTTGCTATTCCAAAAAGAAAGACAATAACCACTCACTGTTATAAGTAAATTCCAACTCATAGTGGCTCTATAGGACAGAGATGAACTGCCCCATGGTTTTCAAAGCTATGTATGGAAGACTGCCCCATCATTCTCCCACTGAGAGAATGATATATCCAAGTCACAGCCTTGTAATTAGAAGCCAAGACCTTAATTACTGCACCACTAGGGCTCCTTTTCAACTCCAGGATTCTCTTTATAGACTCTTTCAAGTGTACTTACTGTGATGAGTTTGTGTCAATTAGGCTGGCCCAGGATTATCAGTGGTTTTGAACTTGATACCTACTAATCCCCCATGATATGAGCGAATACAATGTAATCAACTAAATATGCACTCTGCTATGAACAACCAATCAGTTGTAAGACTATTTGGTTGTAATGTCACACCCTCACTAAAATTATAGCCCTGATGCAATGGAAAGGAAGTTTCCTTGAGGTGTGTTCTACTTCCCATATAAGTGGATGCTATGGAAAGCGTTTTGTTTTTTGTTGGGCCTGGATTCTGCATCTCATCCCTTGTCTTCCAGTTCTGTAAACTTGTGCCAATAGCCTGAAATATTACTTGCTGATCCCAATGATCAGCAACTTATCATTGGACCTGCTGACTTTAGATTTATCACCTTTTCAGCCACATGCCTGGCCTATTCACCTTGGATACATTCACCTCTGTAGCCACCTGCCTATCTTCCTGCTAATCCTTAATAGTGGCAGCTACTCAGGTTAGAAGAAGCCTCCCGCCTAACTGCAAAGTCTGCAGTTCAAAATCACTAGTTGGTCCTCATAAGAAAGATGAGGCTTTCTATCCCATAAAGATTTACAGTCTCAGAAACCCAAAAGGGGAAATTCTGCTCTATGATATAGGGTCGTTATGTATCAGAATTGACTTGAGAGCAGTAAGAGGTTTTGTGTTTTTGTTTTTTTCATCTGGATGCTTGAGCCAACATATTAAATTCTGAATCCCAGGTAAATGAGCATATCATTTTAGAGGCTTGGAATTTAGATTTCATCTGTGTTGGTCTAAGATCTTTATAGAATCTTCTCTGACATACATTTCCCTAACTCTCACTGATAAAAATCAGGAGATCTTAAGTATTTTTGTGTGTAGGTACATATTCTCATAGAAGACTTTTTAAAACTTCTTTAGCCAGCTTA